AGAATGACTGTACTCTAAGGAGTATGTTAAGTATCTGGTAAACTGTCACCTCTGCGGATGGAGATACAAAATTTTGAATTATTTTACTATAGGGATAATACATAACGAGCATTTTGGTGCAAATTTTTGGGACGGGGATTTAATAATATTGCATTTCTGCAAGTGTCTAATTTCTATAACAGGATTCTCCACTGTTCTATGGGCGTGTTGTGTCACCAGATGTCTAGGTCACAACTTTACGAGCTCTGTTATTTTTGCAATGCTAATAGAAGGACATAAGACGATAGACTGGTTACAGGTAATATCTTTTTACCTATCCGTCTCACAGCATTCCATTATTTACTTTATGTAAAATTGTAAGGTGTAACATTAATTCCAGTTAGAAACCACACAATGCGTCCGCTCCGCAACTCAACTAGATTTAGTATCTGCACACAACAACAACTCGTTCGCTCGTTATGCAAAGTTCCATGACGAAGTAAACTCTTCCGCCGTCACTTGGCGATACATAATTAACACCGGAAATATAAAATAATACACACTCGCTAGTGTAATCTTCACCATCCTATCATTGGCCTGAGATTGAGATTACTATCCAGCTTCTATTAAACCGTTTTCTCCCAGAAGCTTCCTCACTGTACTGACTGACTTTATTGAAATAAATTGCATTTTATTATTTATTTTACAGTTTGTATCTCAAACAATTTAATATTTCTTTCACTAATGTGACAAACGTTTTAGCTAGGCTTACCGCTGAAAAGGACGGCCTTAACAAATTAAAAATTAACAAAGTTCTTAATTCTAAAAATATTAAAAATTCCTAATGCTTTTAGCCTAAAATTTGTAGTCTTATAGTCTATAGGAAAAACGTTTAGCAATTAGAAGCCAGTAGTTGTAAAATGTATTCTTCTGTCTTTAATAAACACAGACCTTTTATTTCCTTAAGGTATGTGACTCATATATAGGATTTGATGTTTTCACGGCGGTGAGTCTGAAGATACCTATATTTCAGAGGTCCTTGCTGCCTCCATCATCAGGGTATTGATGGAGGCAGCAAGGATCTCTGAAACGTCGGTAAACGTCTACCAGGCCACACGGCGCAATAACCCAGAAGGAAAACATTAATATCATGTGATTAAAATTTTTTCCATGTTCCTACAAGAACAGTGAACTGGCTACTAATTTAGACCATGCGAATGTGAGTTTATAATAAATTTGCATCAATAGACTTAAAACATTTAAGTTTTCAAAAGAATTGTTCATTGTAATACGTATCCGTGTTTCTGTGTTTGTTCAAATCGTGACCCTTGTTATCCGGGCAGTAATAAACCAGTTGCCGGACATCTGAATCGAAGGAATGCCTATGTTGCTCGTCTGACAAGACGGACGGACGAGTGGAGACTTGGAATTTCCGGAATTGCGTTTTGAATTCTACTGTCCAATTCCTTTAGCACTGCTTGTTCGCCTTACACATCTGCAAAATCCCCAGTTAAATCGTACTTTCTGTGGAAGCACAACTGATTTTAAACCACGAGAATTCAACGTTAACTATGTTTTAAAATTGAAGTTTGGAATGTATATATGGATGAAATTTTATGTTTCAGTTTTTACAAAAATAATAATACATTAGAGAGGGATAGCACAAATTTCATACAAATTTAGGAACCATTTCCAAGAGCTAGGAGCCAAAATGTACATGAGAAGAGAATACTTGTGGCAAGTTTTTTACAAAATAAGGTAGCCATTGTTTTCACAAGTAATTCAAAAGTGTTTCATAACAATATGCGAAGATACAAAACCATGAGAATATCATGAGGAAAATTCTAGGGGTCACTACGACCTGGCGCCTTTGATTAGTGCCGATCTGCCTTAGGGTCTACTCTTTTTATATAAAAGAAGATAGCATAGAAGCCTCTCAAAATCAGTTCGTAATGAAAAGCATGACTAGAAATTTCCAACTGAATAGTGAATAGAGTGTGGACTAAGTATGAGGGCGGATTGATATTTTATAAACAATTCAGGAAATCAACACATGGCATAAAATTTTGGTGTGTTCACTCTCTTATTTTATTAAATCTTTAAATTCGTGAATGCTAACTTCTCATACTGTCCTATAAATAGCACAAAACAAACTTTGCCTACGAGCAAGGACCTCGAATATAAAACCTGAACAATATCAGTCCACCAGATATTCAGTGATGAGGTGACACAGCATAATTTTTTTTATTATCTCGAGAAAAGCAAGAATTAAAAAAAAGTGTTGGTCATAAAATATATACTTATTTTTTGTCCGATAATAAAATGTATTAATAAAGATCCAGAAATTTTCATATCGCTAGACCGTGATTTCTTATCATTCAAGATGTTTCATCACAACGCACAGTTTTAAATATATCTTACTGGTTTAAATAATTGTCATCCTATAAGTCTTATTCTCTCGTTACTGTTGGTAGTTCTGTATGTCTACAATTGCCAACGGTAAAGTAGGCTAATTCTATGCGGTAACTCCACAAGGGAACATTCTGTATACCATTTACATCTGGCAGAATAAGCTGTTGTGCTATCAGAGCTTTATGGACTATTGTTAATATCTGCTGATGTATTGCATTTATTGTTTATTTATCGACGCTTTCAGTATTCCGACAATACAGTGTCGGATGAGAGGATGACAGTGAGTTATGAATTGAAAAGAATGTGAAAGGAAGCGATAGTGTCCTAATTTAAACTACTAACCCGGCATTTGCCTGGAGAACGCCAACAATTCTGGGTTTAATACTTTGCATGTTAAAAGTTGCATATTTTCACAGTTCTATTGATGATACGAGCTCATTAATAATATGCAATAATATCCTAAACCTCCTTAAATAAAAATTTGACTAAATTATTTCATGAATAATTAAGCGACTATCCGGCCATTTAATGATTATCAATATAACCAAATACTAACTTCATAGAGCAAAGTCCTTTCTGAGAAGCTTATCTTTGTTCAATTCTCAAAAAAATCCCCTCATTTTATGACGCCTACAATCTAACACTGGACTCCATTCTGAGCCAAATTACACCTTCACATCCTACTTCTTTAAAATCCATTTTAATATTATCCAATCTAAACATATCTAAGAAGTGACCTTTTCCCTGCAGCATTTCAGACTAAATTCTATTTGTAATTATAAACTTTTATTTCATGTCACAAACCTCACTCATATCATTATATCTAATTTTGTAACAAATATTTTATTTGGTGAAGAACATACTACAAATTACTAATTTCTTGATTATGCCCCCCTCCCCCCGTTGTTACATCAAGTCTATCGGATCGAAATATCTGCCTAGAATTTGTTTCTCAAAATCTCCCAAGCTAAGCTCTTTCTTTAGCGTGAGAGACCAAGTTTCACACCCACGTAGGACAACAGGTAAGGTCTTCTGTGTTGTCACGTCATATAGTCTTCTACGTGGTTACTGAAGATGGCGTGACACGTTTCTCCGAAATGTTAGTAACCACCTACAAGACTACATAGTCATAACTGAGACAATTAACATTGCTGAGTATAAATTTGGTCCATTAAGCTTATTCAAGAGTATGATACCAGTTTATTATTAACATATCTCCTTTATTTTTCATACGTTCCTGTATTACTTAATTTAGTTGTGCTCCTTCTGTAATTGTCTTGCGGCTGTTAAGGCAAGACACAAATAATAATAAAATTAACTGAATTATTATAATTATTATTACATCCTGCCAATGCTCATGTGTTCTCAAGAGTACATTCAAGAGTCGTAACAAAACTCAGAATTAGGCCTACTTTTCTGCACATTCTGCACAAACAAACTAACTAAAATTGTTTTTACACGCCCGATGACTGAAACTTATAATCCTTGTTCGTTTCTAGCGTCTAAATCAGATTAATTAAACTGAATGCTACCAATGTCTAAATGCTTAAGCCTTACACTCGTGTCGAGTCGTAGGAAACTTTTGTGTCAGATCGGTTGTCTATAAACGTATGTTTACAAGGCGGAGAATATTAGATTGTATTTTATATAGGCTAGAGACTTCACCAATTGTTTGATATTTCATGGAGATCATATTGTTTCTCTACATCAGGCATATCTAGCTCTTGGACGGCAAGACCTCTAAAGTTCAATGTGGCCTGACATAGTTCTCCCATTGTACACGACGTGTGGCCTCAAATGTCCTAATTTTAATAACTTTTAAGATTCAAAATTATGAGAAATAGGTATTTGTATACCGCTGTTTTATATTTAAACAAAATAAAGTTCAAATGTGTTTAAATTAAATTAACATTTGGGTGTCTGTGTGGGAAAACAGAGGAATGAAAAGTATAATGATTTAAGCTTAAGTTTGAAATCAGTGAAAGTATGTGGTTATGATTTCCTCCACTCCTGTGATGACCCCCGAAACAGACACCTGTGTTTAAGTAGCCCGGAGTATACACTGAGTTTGGCCTGGCTGCTACAGACATGTGCCATAAGAGAATTTATTTGTACTTTATTTCAATGGTTTTCAAACCCGGTTACACTGAGGCTTGTTCAATGGCACATGAGAACACCAGTTTATAAAAATTATAAACTGAAATTAAGCAATTTCAAAAAAAATTATTAATGGTATTTATGAAGTAGTTTTCTACTCAAATGTACGTTTATAATTAAATTTGGCCTTACCATAAGGAGTTATGTGTATTATAATTATATTTTTGGCTCCTCAAAATAAATTTATTGGTGTCTCAAGAGTCCACGGCTTCCGTTTTTAAAAACGGTACTTTATTCAATATACGGCCCTCGAACATAGCATTTCTAACGTTTTCCAGACAAAACCGAAGAATATATTTTGTCATATGCGCCCACCTATCTCTGTATGCTGAGTGGGGCGTATAAAAAGATGCTCACAGTAATCGCGATAGTTCCACGCTTGTATGGATTTTACCTTAATGATACGACAATAAAATTAAATTTAACTAACAGTCAATGATTTATCTTTCCAGCGAATGGGTCATTCCAGCCGGGCATGGAACCAAAGCGCCAGAGGACAGCATATACCAGGCATCAGATACTGGAACTGGAGAAAGAGTTCCACTACAACAGATACCTGACCAGAAGACGAAGGATCGAGATCGCGCACACCCTGGTTCTGTCCGAACGACAGATTAAAATTTGGTTCCAGAACAGACGTATGAAGTGGAAGAAAGATAACAAGCTACCCAATACGAAGAACGTTCGTAGGAAGACAAACCCAGCTGGAGTCACCACAACCACGACTAAAAACAACTCCAGCAGCACGAAAAGTAACACATCTTCGAGATCGAAAAACAATGGAGATAGCAGGAGACGCGCAAATAATAACAATACAAGCAATCCTAATCCTATTGTTACGAACACTGTAGCTACTGACATAACCAATCATCAGCAACATCACCAATCCCATCACCACCAGCAGCACCATCTGGGAACGCCATCAAGTAATAACGTGACTGATCAGCAACAATCACACGGTTTAGTTACGACAATGCAATCAACAATGCATCTAAGTTCGCCGAGTTTGGTTTTAAGTCAGTTGACTCCTTTAACACCGGCTCAAACATGCGGCCCGGCGCTTCCACCAACCACAATTAAATCTGACTATGGATTAACGGCGCTATAAAAACGATAAATAAACTACGAATCTTTTATAATATGACTCATTCAGTGCATCAAATTAAAACTATGAATTTTCCTTCCAAGAGAAAATTGTTACCAAACTATAGGCGTGGGAAGACGAATATAGTTAAGTGCCAAAAATACTACTAATTACGCTACGTTTATTGTAACTGTGAAGGTAAAGTTGTTTCCATGCTTAAGCGTCAACCGATGGGGACGTAGGAGGAAATGGAGGCAAAGATCCACGCATTGCTAACTTCGGCATTTGGTAGAGGTGAGTGGTCACATCCAGGCTCCAGCAGCTTATACATTTTGGATAAAACGTTTCGTGGGCCTCAGAACCAGTTTGTACGTGGTGGCAATATTAACAATTCCGACTCCTGTTTGGAATAAATTTCTACAGAGCCCGTAGCAGTCATTTTGATAACTGAGCTATCCCGTTGTTCTATAAATGTGAAAACCTGCCTCATATTCCATAGCATTGACTGTTTATTTGAACGTAATTCTGATAGCATGCCATTATCAATCATATATACCTGCCGAAAACCCGACAAGTTTCGAGCTAACGTTTGTTTGAACACTGAAGTTGAAACGAGGTCTTCAAAATGTACATACGTAAGTGAGTAACTTTTTAAATTTTAGATCCTGTTTTAAGTTCTTATAGAGCTACAACAAAGGACTGCCACCTGCTGATAGGCTCTGTGGCCTACGAATGTGAAATTAGTCGAAAATGCATTCGACACTGTGAATAATATTGAATAGAATTTCAGGTTTCACGACGATGAGTCCGAAGATGGTTGTTTTCTGGGTTGTATAGACAATACGGCGCTACAACCTAGGAGAAAGCCATCATTAAAAAATACTGCTTCATTACAGCTATCTATATGATTCAAAATAGCGACACGTGTCAAGTAAATAATTTTATGTGTGGACTCGCGAATTATGACTTCAGCATTATTTACGTTTTTAAAATATGCTCTTCCATTATATAAGTTTCTATTGCGTGTACCAAATTAATTTTATTTGTCAACAAAATATTCAGTTCTTAATGAAATGTGATTTCTTCTGATTGAGTAACGAAGTTTTGGTAAGGAAATGGGCATCGTTTAAATTAAAGGTGCAATTTTTAAATTAATTTTAAGCAGCTTTAATACTGGTACTTAGCTGTGTCGAATTTCCACAATTTACTCTGAATAACGCTTCTTACATGCATTAAAACTAAATTACAGTTTGACGAAACATGTTTTTCCTTTTCATTATATGTACCTTAATTCGATAAACTGGAAGATTTTTATTTATACTAAAACAATTCAGGATATAACCTAATTGTTATTGAAAGCACTCCATACGATACCACTGTACATACTTTAGTAAACTGTTATCATCATGACTCATCAGTTCAGTTCAATCTATTACGTTTTTATGCATCATTATTTGTCGTAACAGTTGATAAAATAAACATGAATCAAACATGCTTTAGGGTTTTGTGTTTTATTAACTGTACAACTACGGAATTAAAACGACTATAGTTTTTGAAATAAAATCGAATTAATCCCAAAATTTAAACCAAATTTTGCTCAAGAATAAAAAAAAAGTACTACTATTATATAAAATATAATTCCACCTCTGTTAGCAGTTACATACATTAAAAAATCCTCTAACACAAAAAATATAATCACAATAAAATATTTTAATATGAATTGATATTATAAGCACCAATTTTCGATTAGCCAACACCCTTCGCCTGATTTAATTGCGTCCGTATTAAGCTGTGAAACAAGTGTGTCACATAACCACTTGTATATAATAAAATTATTAAAGTCTATTTGAAAAAGCTTTAGAGTTTAGAATGTTTAGACACATAAATCAAACATTAATAATACTTAAAAGAAAGTTCCTTGTACCAACATCCATTCATCAATCACCCGTATATGCATAGCTTATATTTATACATACACACATATATGTGTCACCATACATAAACAAAAGTATACAAACTTGCTGGTACCAAAATTCAAAAGAAATGGGAACTCTGGGAGATAAAATTCACATAAAAGGAAATAGCACTACCTATTTAATAACCTCGAGGACATGATACCAATAAGAGTGTGATAGAATTAAAATCAAAGAGCAAAATAAAACGAAGTTTCTTGCATTGACGTGTAAGAAAATATTCTGGACTAAGACATATATATGCAGTTCATATCTAGCTGTTCGTACTTTACTGTTATAAGATTTTATTTTTAATCAGAATTACAAATAGACCTTTTACTTTGTACATGGAATTAAAAAATTAAAGTAAAATACAACAATTTTTGAAGCTTTAGGATCTTTCACACCAAAAATTAAACGCCAAACGCATCTGATGGATAAAATATCAACTACAGTATGTGTAATTTTGCTATTTGAGCTTGTCTATAAACATTAAAAATATATAAAAACTGAAATGGGAAAATAAAAACTTTTCAATGCCTGTTTTTGGCAATGATTTTAAAAAGTTAAGTGCAATTAAAAATTTTAAAATGCCAAGAACGATTAAAAAAGGACACTTTTAAAATGATATAAAAATGTAAACACTGAAAAATGAAGCTCGAAATATTTCTTTTTGTTGTCTGTTAACTTTCTACTTGAAGGAACAAATTTCATGCACTGTGGGCACACAAAATTTAAGTGCAGTTTTAGGTAATTTGGTGGCGAATTATGCACGCTAATTAGCAATTTGCGTATCAAATAAGGATAAAACAGCTTAATCAGTTATAGTAACATAATTACGACATAAAATATGCTGAAAATAATATACCGAGTGATAAAAACAAGTGTCGGCAATGTAAGTGATGCATAAATTATTGAGGAATACTTTCGAGGAAAAACTATATGTAATTTGTGATATTTCAGGGGAAAAAACGTTTTATCGACGTTCGCACTTCATCAGAGATCTGCCTTCTTAAACACAATTACTCTGTTGCACTGAACAATTTATCGTTGACCATATATAGGATTGCAATCAAAATGTGGTTATTGTTACATATGGAAAAATTACATGCCATGTAGAATTTTGGTGCATACACCTTAGTGTAAATTATAAAGTGATATAAATGAAAAAGTCAAAATTAATCAAGGCTCCGTACTGTTTCGTGTAACACAAATAAAATATAATGGATTAGTTGACACCGAAATTGATCTAAAATTAATTTCTTTTGTTTTTATTGGTACTAAAGCGATGTACGAATTTTAGATTTCTTTTATTTGAGCTATCGATAGCTATAGTTAATTTATATAACAAACTGGGCATGTCACAGTGGTATCTAATAATGGAATAAATACGAATATAAATAATTCTGTACTCATATGTGTTGAAATAACGACAACCAACATAATCAAAATAACATCCAAAAATTTGTCAATTATTTCTATCGTAAAACATCGTTGTTTGTTGTTTTGTTGCTGATTGAAATCACTGACTGCTAATTTATCTTTTGCTTGTGTTTTCGCTTTTAAGTGGCGAAATTTAACTGCAAGAATTTGCAAAATAGTCATGAATAATGTGTATCATAATTAAGTCAAATAGTTTTGTGTTATGTTTTCTTTTGTTCCAAAGTGTGTTTATTATTATTATTAATTATTATTAATACATAATGTCCAGTTTATTTTGATCAAACAGTGATGTGCCACATTAGTTTTGTAAGAAATGAGATGCAGCGTACTGAGATTTGCGTTGCCCGAAGTGATCGATAATGTGTATCAAGAAAGGAATAAGAATTCAAATTTTTGAATTTAAAACCTGCTAAATATAATTGGATCGGTTCTAATTATGACAACTGACGATAAAATGTCCCTTTAAGATCATGCATTTCCATTTTTAAGTGACTGTCTTCAAAATAATGACAGAATACAGATACTAATGCTTTGGTTTATGAAATGCAATGATATTGTTTTTAAAAACTGAATTATTTAAAGTTGTTTAGTCAAAGAAACGGAAAAAAGATTAGAGACACGTGCCCTGACACTAGGGTTTGTAAATTCAAGATATTATTGAGTTTTGAATAAAAGATATATTTGTCTTCGAATTTAAGGAGAAATTGGCGCATTCAAAATTTTACATGAAATATTAAGCCAATTTTCTATTTTGTAAATAACGAATTGCAAATTAATTCAAATAATGGTATTCATATTAGGACCGAAACCATGAAGGCAAACATTTTATTGTTTGTATAATCAAGTTCAAAACCAAACTCAGGGTGAATTTTAGTTTTAAAAGACATGAATATTGATGAACTACTGATTATATTACGATGTAAACAAAATGATTTGTCGTGTCTTAAGTTTAAGTCTACTGCAGACAGTTTGAAGGAAAGGAAGGTGATGAAACATGTGTGTGGAATTTGCTCGTGGTATGTTTATTATGATATACAGAGAGTGAGTGTGAATAAATGTCGCATTAATATACATATGGCAGTAAAATAAAGAAATAAATAACTGCTCATGTGAGTCAATTTATTTCCAGTTATACAAGACTGTTTCAACGTGTTACTCATTTAAAGATATTGTAGAAATAATAAACAATTCCTCATCTGTGAGAACAAAATTTTGTCCTGCAACGTTTCTTGAGCTATTTTATTAGCCATGCTCAACCATTTTGTTTCAGAGTGAGTTTTCACTCACTCTTTACCAGCGAGAGTCTAATTTTGATCCCAAACTATGCGTGTGGCGCATTATGAAATCGGAATTTTTTTTTTAATTTGAATAATTCATGCAGGGTTCTAAGTTTTCACGGCGGTGAGTCTGAAGATGGCTATTTTATGGGTTGTTGCGCCATGTAGTCTGGTGGAATTTTATAGACGTTTCAGAGGTCCTTGCTGTCGCCATAATCAGAGCAATGGAGGCAGCAAGGACCTCTGAAACGTCGGTAAACTTCTACCAGACTACACGGTGCAACAACGAAGAAGATAGCTATATTTATCTTTTCCATTTTTGGCAACGTATGAAATTACTTTAGTCTTAATCCTTTATGAGACTTCATGGGCCCCTGGCTTAGAACCGCTGTTCTACTGCATCAGTATTCCACGTTTATTAGAGACAGAAAATTACATAATTTTTTTTAAAACTTGCAATCTGAAAATCGCCGTCTGTTAATTAAGGCTACTAATATATCCATAATATATATGGAGAGTGGTTTGCAGACCAAGTATCTTCCGATTCCTTATTATATATTTTACCTTCATTGCTACATTACATTCGTAATAATTTTGATTGTAATTTAATAATACTGAACGTATGGACGATATTAATTATCATGTGTTTATATCATAGATCGTATATAGTTAATATCAAGGCTAAGGAAGCTATTCGTAAACTCTCTAATTGATAAAAGGCCAATTAGTTTCATACACTTTCAAAATTTTTAGGTGAAAAATGAAACAACATTATACCTAACTTAACGAATAAAACGTTCCTGCCTTCAGTACTTAAATTTGATTTATAAAGCCATATAATAAATCTATATTTGACTTTATTTGTGCTGCAAAGTAATACCAAAAATCATAAGAAATCTGTTGTGAGAACACGAATACAGAGGACTTTGCTTGGATTCAGGATCTCTACACTGTCGACAAAGATGAAATACAACTGCATGAACTAGATGGGTTAGTGAGGTCTGCGTCTTCAAAAGTCTTCTGTTATGTCTTGTGACTTGAGAAGTTGCATTATTAGCTGCCGGGTTTGATGGATCACCAATTCATCATCACCACTTGTCAAACACAATTTACAGCTCCCCAAAGGGAGACAGTTCAAGTCCGAGATACACTCAAACTGAAGAAAGGCAAAGCAACTGGCATCCCTCTGAGAACATGTTCCGCCTTGCTTCACACACTTCACTACTATCCTTTCACTTAAGTGTGATGAGCCGGTAATGTTGAATCCAGACACCGCGCCTACCCTTTCTCCCATAAGACTAAACTGTAAACATTAGAAGAGAATTGGCCAAGTCCTTACTATGCGCAATGAAAATGGGAAAATATAGGGCTGGACTCTCTCAGTTTCTAGTTAATGCCCCAAGGACTGGCATAAAAATTCTTCTTTAGCTTTCATCACAATTCTTTGTGGTAACAAACTGAATTTCAAGGCACATTTACTTGTCAGTCTTGTTGTAGAACATTTATAACTTGTTTTAAGCATACATGCTGTTGCGTGTTGATCGCTAGGTTGACAGTCCGTCTACACAAAATTTTTTATGGTAGTCTCAATGTTTATGAAGAACCACTATATGTTTCGACCCTTATTTTTCATTTTAGATGGTTCTCTCACGTGCTCGAAGCTAATAGATATGATTGCTGAATTATATAAATATTTTAAACAGATACCATTAGCATGGATCTGAGCCAATGCTTTGCAATTGTACGTAATAGGTATGTGACTGAAAGCATATGAAGTTTGGCTTAAGGTAGAAACATTCTTTTTCCTTGGATTTAAAAGCTTCTGCTAAAATGGCAGGGAGATTATAAATTGTATGGCCACTTTGTAAGATGTTGGTTAAAACGATGACTTAAAACTTAGTTGTCTTTCAAAAACGGAATGAAATTATGTCATTTTTAACAGCCTTTACATTTTTACTACTCAAAATAATATATGAAAATGTAAAACTTGAAGCGCATATTTTCACAAACTCTCATCTCAGACATTCGTAAGGCCGCCATTTTGGTGGTTTGAGAGCAAGAAAAAGTACGGATAATATTGCATGACGTGATGTATTTAATGAGTTCCATACAATGGCTGGTTGGTACAATATGCATCAGAGACTATAAGTTCGCAGACAACTTTCAATTTGTTACATTGTTGATCTATGTATTTAATAGATTAGCATAGAAATAAATTAATACATTTTACCTAACACTTAATATTTATGAAATATTTTTAAAATCAAGATTTACTGAAGTAAAAGCTCAGTTCCGTTTATTATTTAAGATGAGGAAAGGGTAAAGTTTTACAAATTCTTGATCCTTTGTAACATCAAAGCATTTTAAAGTTTTTAGTTCGCAGTTTTCCCACAGAAAACAAGGATACCTACACAGATACTGAGACTCATAAACTGACGTTTCGATTGTTACTATTGACTATTGAAAAGCCTTCTTTCTCGGCAACTAAAGGGGACAGTTTACTTAATGCTAATTGCTTGTTCTGCCCACTAATTTTCGGGTCCTTTACATTGTCAACCCCTTGTCAACCCTTTAGGAAATGGATACATTTCTTTGACACTTTTACTTAAAGGCCGCTAATACAGGGATTTTCATGTGGGATTACAGACAACAGCTCCGTGCTTACAACTGAGGCAGTCCATTTTCGCACGTTTCCATGACGACTGAGTTGACTAGCGCACGCTTCAAAGCGCTTTAAAGAGCTCCTACTTATTTTCTCATCATGCGCAAGGCTACGACATGTAGACATTATATAAATAACGTTTTATTCTATTTATTTAACAACGCTTTATACAGTATAGTCTTGGGTTATGTAGCACCTAGACATATTTTAAGGTACGGTAGGTAGTCTATGGAAGAATTTGCATGAAGATACTGATTGTCATAAACACCGCGGTCAGAGAAGCATGTTGTCTGGCCGAGAGTCAAACCGGAAACTTTTGAACACAAAGCAATAGTGTTTACCTCTTAATCCTTTGAAACCGAAGCCCGTGTTTACACTACTTAAATACTTAGTCCTTAAGTCAAAGAAAGCACAATAGGCCTAGTTATGCCTTATAAAATATAATTTAGTTAATGGTATTTTGGTAAATAATAGCTTTTACTCTAAGAATCATGGGAAAGCCATAAATACACTCTTTGATGAAAATGCAAAATTACTAATTGTTAAAGCACGTGGTACACGTAGCTTTAAAGAGTTAACTGCGATGTTCCGTGGCATATAAAACGTACTCAAAATTTGTAATGGAAAATGTTATCGTCTGCACAAAGGTTTTAAATTCTAAATGTTAAAAAATGCATCCTCAAAACTAAAAATCAGGTTCCTTGTCGGTTGTAGAATGAAGACGGCGAAATTTTTCTGCTGAAACAAATTAAAGGTTTGACTGAATATGTGTAGAATTCTTGCGAAATTAAATATTGGAATAATGAGATTTGCTATTTCAAATCATGGCAAAACTTTTTTGAGATTAAAAGGAACATCTCTTAACCTTTTCTAACCTTAAAAGGAAATAAATTATTTTGTTTCTCCCTTAAACAAAGTGAAAAATTGAATGAAGGACAGAGAGGTTATTCTCTCTCCGTTGTCTCGAATGCTTCATTTCCGAAAATATTTTTTGAAATTTACAATATTCTGTGTCGGTGGTTCTACTCTAGAGGCTGACGCGAGAATGCAGTTTTGTCCATATCGGTCGCAAACACACACACACACTCCCACAGAAGTTAAAATCAAGAGTTGGCTATCCATTGTGTATATAAAGGTTCGTCGTAAAAATTACAATGCACTAAAAACATAATTCTTTAACAAATATGAGCAATTTCATATGCTTACAGATACTGTTGTCATTATGGCTGGGTTTTAAATAGAACATTTTGTATTACACCTAGGCCTCATCATCATCAGTCAAGCTTTCAATGTTGAAAGTTGGTGACCCAACACCTGGGCCTACATAATTATAAAATACAGTTCATAGCTAATGTTCAGATAAAAAATAGGCCTACAGAGATGTTGGACATAAATTTGCTTGACAAAGTCTTCTTCAAAGGTTCTGTACTACAAAGTATAGCAATACAAAAATAAAAGAAACTACCTTCAGATTTTATTAAAAAGTTATTTTGTGTTATTTTTTTTATTATTTGATCTAACTTCATAAGTCAAAGTTCTTCCTATGAAGCTTAGTTACTCATTTGTTTAAAAACTCATAGTTTAAGAGATTTAACAAGACTTCCATAATAGAACCCAAATTTAAAAGGAATTTTAAAGATATTATTATGTTATTTTTTAAAAAAAACAAAAGATTTTTGTTCCAAATTATATCAAATGTTGTGATGTCAATAATAAATGATTCTTCATTTTGAAATATTTTGAAGTAGCAGGGAAAATATCAGACACACTAGTGTATGAGATTTCTACAGCCTACCATATTATTTAGCTAGAAATAACAAACATATTGTTTGAGAAAATGGCTGTATTCCGCATTTAATTCCTAATCCGTTCTTCAACTTCTTCGTCAGTGACAGAAAGTCCTTTTAGTTTTCTTAGTAGGCTTATAAGAATACTGTAGCACTTGATGGACTTTAAACCCACTGCTGCTGCTACAAGCAGAGTAGGCCTGTAGTGTTACTTGTATAAGAAACATCTAGGGAAAGCTTTAATACTCTGTAATGCAACACGCGTAGCCAAAATATAACATCGTGCTTTTATAGTGACCGTTCTACTGCGTGACGAAATTCTGTCTAATTTCACTGTGACCTAATGGCCTAAGTGTTTCGACAAATTTGCATAAAATTGTTC